CACACCTACCCGCGAACATATTTTCGGGTGTTGAGGTACCCTTGCCGGGCTTCGCAGCCCTTCCAAGTCAAAATGGCCCATGGTTCATCTCAAGTCCGTTTCTCAAAGAAAAGCCACATGAATTCGAATCGACGCGCAATTCAAGAGGGGACATGCGCGAGGCTGATCCGTTCCGGCGAACATCTGCGTGATCGGATGCTCAAATGTGGTCAGGTTGTGTGGGGGATGGTAACCCGATTCCTTGTGCCTCATCGAGGCTTCTCCTCTCGGTCCACTGTTTGCCGATGCATATTGGTAGCCCCATTGGTAGCCTTTTGTGATTTCCCCCCACACGAGGTCAATCAAACATTTGCTTAGCTGCATGTCCATCCTCTCACATTTCTTCTCACTCCTTACTTCACCGATACCACACTCACTTACCGACTTCTTGCTGGCAGCCCCAAAGATCCCCCGTTTTCAGTTCATCCCTGACAACTTGTGCCCTTTTCGAGCACCAGCATTCCCGTCTATGCTCCTTTATCTAAATTGCCCATCTCGAAACTTGTCCGTCTGTTAGTCTCGCCACAAAAAGTGCGGATACGCTCTCCGTGTCCGGCTCATTTAACTCAATTCTTCGGGGTCATTTCAAGATGTCGCCGTCCATCCTCTCCTGAGACCCCGCCCATTTTCAGCTTGACTCCGCCCATCGCGACGAGGCTCGTCGTCCGTGATCGTCCGCTACCGCAACCTAATCACTTCGTACCTCTACGCCATGCGTTCCATTTTGTTACTTCTTTTTGTGAGTACTTAACTAATTGCTCATTTTCGAGTAACGACATCAACTTTGAGTATTCTTCAACATTTAGGCACATCACACCTACGCTAACGTTATCAATTATCAGTTTCACGAAGATAACGGTAAGTTAAGCGATCCTTCATCTGCTAAGAAATTTTCAAGCGCTTATATCCCTATCAGATTTGATAAAGTAGATGTTTATGGTTGGACTGGCCATGTCTGATAAGTGACGAGACCTTAAACGGATTCTCACGTCCTCAGTTAATAGCCCTCCAAACATGGTCCGATCGATGTTTTCTGGGAAATTAAGTGTGTTCATTGCTGATTCTCCCCCTATAGAATACCTCTATTGTTCAACCTGTCTCTCTACGCATTCTTATAGAGCGGAAAGCGCATTGTTTCTGGAGTGACCTTGCGCATGCAATTTGGCAAATCGCCTTCTCTCGGGAGGACAATTCCTACACGGTGGCGTGATGAGTGTCCATGAGTCCCTTGGGTATAGGACCCCTACTAAATCGAAATTCTGGTCCTTTTATTCGATGAGCACGCTCGGGAATGCATCTCTCTATTGGATATCCTACCCGTTGGATTTCATTTTAGGGCAAATCGGGGAACGTGACGATTACGCAAGGGGGAACATAGTCAGAACTAACATGGCCTTCTTCGAATACTTAGGGAGTGGACGGACTTAAGCCAAAAACTTCTAGGAAGTAAATGCCAATTACTGAAGAATAAACTACAATAACGTTCTTTAGATAATGAGGTGAATGAATGTATCGAGCGTTCAATGGAAGCGCTCATGGATGAGACCTGTCTATTCTTCAGACAAACTGCCGATCAGGACGCCTACGTCACTTTCGTTCAGTCAGCGTAAGTGGTCCCTTCGTTTTTTTTTACATCGTCATAATCAGAACTCTATGAAAAACATAATTTTTATCACATATCTCTGGGCTCATCCCTTCTTCATCTCAAAAACCACTTCCACTTATTCGAGACTTGAATATGCCATTCAGCACAATGATCTCCTTGTCGATGACATATCTGAAGTTCATTTGACGCTTTTTGAAGTCGTTTTCCTACCGCAATATTTCCATTGGATAGTCCATAATCTGTACCCAAGCTGTACAAGGGGCGCCAAAATTATGGCGAAAACACATGAGCATAAAATTTGGACCGATAACCATGTTTTGTGCTGTCCTAACTTTGGCAATGTAGTATAGACCTGTTTTATATTATACGTGTTATGTTGAGTGGGACTGCCCGTTCTGTAGTTGTCTTATGGCAACTGGGAGATATGGAGAACTTTCTAGAATTGGCTTTGTTTATGAAACAAAGGACAGTTTCAGCGCTGGGGCAACTTGTTCTTTCTTTAGTGGGGACAGCGATTCCGGCCATCATCAAAGATCGTATGTGGCAATTCTGTATTCGGTATATAGCAGCCTGGGTGGGGGGCCGAATTCAGCCTCGAACACGTATGTAGTATCATCATTCTGTTAGAAAGATGTTCATGAATTCAGTGGCATTCTGGTTTCCTTTCACTTACGATTTGTGCCGCAACTCGCGAATTTATTCGCACTCGTTTGGTAGGAGATGAGGATTCGGATAGCCTGGAGGTAGAGAACTGGTGTGGTATCCTGTGGTGAGGAGCTAGGAAGGGGGTCACGCAAGCAGCTAGCATTCTACGTAGCTTATTCTGTTTTTATGTCATCTACTTGCTTCGATTCTCCGTGTCTCTTGGCTATATCGTCTCTAGCTCGAATGAGAAGCTAGGACTCCGCCACAATCTTTGTAAATGGATGTTAATCTGAGCAGGAGAAATTCGCTGTCTGAGGCTTACAAATATCTTTATATCCTATCTTGGGCTGTTCTCGAACTGGGTTTGTCATAGCAAAGTTTTAGGAACAAGAAAACGCTCTCACGAACCAATGAACTAATCTCCATGATACGACGACTTCGTGCTCGTATGACTAGCACTGTATGCACGGAATCGCACTAGAGTCAGCGAAGAGAGCTTCCAGACGAGTGGTGATTCAAGACAAGTCTGTGCATTTAGAGAGCAACGAAAGCCAAAGATGAGCGTTACCATAGTTGCACGCAAGACAAAGCATCGCGAAGCTGACAGAGCCTCCCGTCGTCGACATCATATAATTGATCTGTGTGAAGTTCTTGGTATTCTGCGGTTCCCCCTTTCTCAGCCGTTGAACTCATTTGCCCTTTCCCTGTAGCAGTTCTCGAACTTCCGCTTTCTATAGTGAATATGTCTATTTGTTGAAGAAATAGTTCTCTTTCTGGACGTTTACTGTCAGGGCACTGCTCATGCAGGAATCGAATCGGACCAGTTCATCTTAACCTCGAAATGAGCCTATGATCACGTAGATTCAGTTCAAAGTTCATATTAATGTAGTGTCTATTTTTTACGGAGGGTATCATGTGTAGGTTTGAAACGGGTTCCTCGTCTAGGAGTAGTCTTACAACTCATTGGGCGAGTTGTTACAAACGCGATTAGGCCTTCCCTGGGACTGGGGATTAGTTCCGCGACTGCGGAGGTGATCGTTCTCCTAGTTCGGGCCGAAGGTCAGTCGTGAAAGAACACACGAGCCCACGAGTCTTAGGTCTCAGCGGAGGAAATCCGGCGTGGAGTACTAACGGCTTTTTGGTTTAGGACGACTTCTGCTATGAAATCATCGGACGAGTGCTTTCCATCGATAAGCCGAGGAGTCACATCGCTCGCCATCTCAATCTGCACTACAATTGCACTGGTTAGTTCAGTACAAAATTCGTCTATGCTTGGGAGAAAAAATGGGCTGGCCATCGAAAAAATTATGGGTACGGTGTCAGTTCTTTGAGCAGCTGCCTCTTGCACAACTGAAATTCAAGACATTGACCTGCAATGCCCTTTGGATCTCTTGATCCATTAATTAGCAAATAGATGGACAGAAGGTTCGGCAAAGTCGCCGTTTTGGCCGTCACCCATCAGTCAGTGTCTTTCTCTTTTTCTCTCCGCAACTCGCTGCTCTCTTTTTGTGGAGAGCACACCTGAGTCACCACAGGAAGCCGCCACTTCCACATGGGTCAAGTAGACTCAAGTGGTCGGGCCGAGCCACCACTGACAGAGGACCAACTGAGCCGAGACGACGTCATTCCATCAATCACCCACCAAAAGGGCAGCAAGATCAGTCCAAGAAATAAAAGGCAGTTGTTAACAAGGGAAGAGCTGCTTGCTTCAATTCAGCAGAACAGAACGATCCTCAGAGTAATCCCGGTCGGCCAGAGGTCATCGTTGTTTGAACAACACCTTTGATGGTGATATGGGGGAGCTGTGTGTGTATGGGAAGGCCAACGGGAGGTCCGAACCCAGTTTGGGTCATCCTCCAAAGAAACCCTTCATTAGACTGGATGTCCACGCGATTATGAGTCACGTAAATGTCGTGGTGCAATGGCTATCATATTTCATTGCGCTTTCGCCAAAGAAGGGGTTTCATGCAAGGTAAGGACCAGAACAGGTGTGGGTCATTGCTCTTGATGCTCATCGTCCATCAATGTCAAGTCGGGGTTGCCTTTGCTAGAAGATGGATGGGGTTGGAGCGACATATATCGACTCCCAACATGCTGCCATTTACCGGCAGCGATCTGGCCATGGCAATTATGGTGGCGTTTAGAGTGGAGGGCCGAGCCGGATGTGCCGGACCTCATCTATACTAGTTGGGGGTACTTGGAATCTGGCAGCAAGCGATTGCGTATCTGCCAATTATCTGGTCGAATCGCTCGCCGCTGAAGTGATGTGTGGGAATGCGCGTGATAATGGACCCATCACCCCGACGTCAAAGATTGTTCCTTCCAGAGAAATGTACTATCGAATGCCAACACAGCGGGACTGTTCAAGACGACTGCACCTGCAAATGCGCCTACGGATTCTCCGGCACGAGGTAAGTCTCCCCGTACCTCCACATACCTTCAAGGTGTTCATGTAGCCCTGCTCAATTACAGATGTGAACGGCTCGCCAAGGAGGCCTCCTTCACCGATAGGTCTTGTGGAGTTGTCGAGGTTGAGGGTGATGGCGTCGTGACTTTATCCACCTATCCAGGACCCCGTCCCAAGGTCACTTTCTGCCAGTGGCTTCTTCAGGTGAGCGTTTTTTCTACAAGGAATTACAAAATCGAATCGCTCTTCCCATCGTGTCTGTGATGTTGGGAAAAGCTTCGTATGAATAATCTAGCTAATGGCGTGTGTCTCAGAAGGGCTAGCGACCCGTCAACAGACGAAGCTATAAAGGCCATAAAGCACGAGCCAGCTAATGTCTCTCTTAATGACCGAGCCGTCAATGGAAAACGCCTGAGCGCTTAGGAAATGAATGAATTGCTTTCAGTCATCAGACCCGTGGGCGGTGATCGAAGTGGACATCGAGCGGCTTGGATTAGACGGCGAAGATATCAGGCCAGGATCCGTCTGTAATGACCTCTTCACAGCTTTTGGAGAACAAGAACTTGTTGGACCGTGAGTTTCTTCAGAGCGATTCTTGTGGCTTTGAAAGCAGTCGGGGGTTTTCATAAACGGACCGTCTTTCCGTCGCTTAACGAGCCACGCGCTTATTCTTTAGTTCATCCATATAATTAGCTGCGCAATTAGGCAATCTCTGCCAACAATAACAGGAAATCGGGGCAGTCCTTGCGCACATCTTCACGGGGACAGATCCTCAAGGGATATGGGAAAGACTCGCATATTCCCATTTTTCAGGATTCCTTGTGATGGCTCCCAAAACGTGACGAAACTACGATCAAAGTCGAACTGGCTGCTGCTGGAGCTGCGCAGTGATCCTTACTCGGAGAGTTCAGTCAGTGGGCCTCGTCTCAGACACGGCCTGAAGCGAATGCAACCCGGTAAGTCATCCGTCAAAGGTCAGAAAGGCGTTGAGAAATGGTTGTGGACGGGAGTAATGGCGGTGGGTCCGTAAATGGCCCAAAGTCATAGTCTATCTCTTCTCCTAATCGAGTTGAGTCGGCACCACCGCCATTTCAATCAGCAACTGCACAAATTGGCGCCGAGCCAAATTGCGCTCTCAAACGACTTCCACTGCAGGAAACAATGCAATACGCGGAATGAGTGACCCTCTTCGAAATAGCAACCTCTTGTGAAAGTCGGGGCTTGTTACCGAGCAGCAGTAGTACGGTATAATTGCAGGTGTGCGAATCTACTCAGAAGGAATGACGTCGTCAACGCTGCTGCCATCCATCGCTGCCATTGCCTTGGCATTGGCCGTTGTTAGGATATTCTAGTGGTGATTCTTGGATTGATGTTTCTAGCTCATACTTGTTTGTTATGCAGTAAATAACCATTTCCTCACGGGGGAGCACAATTCAGGAGCTCGGGATAGGCGCCGATCATCCCATTACGCGCTTGTTTTGTGTTCGAAACATCTGCCAACAGCTTACATCTGTTATATTCTCTCTCTCAGTCCTCAGGTTTTCCTTGCGCATCTCACCACACAGCTACCTTCGCTACTTCTACCACTTCAACCGCGATCTGCCTCTTCTCATTTGATCGTCAAATGCAAGTCATTTCTCTTGTCCTGTGCATTACCAGTAATTTGTTATACTCGTTGTGCATTAATCACATTCATTGTGTGTACTCGTACCTTCTATGGCAATAATCGAGAAGCATCCTATAGCATAACTTTAAGAATTAAATATGAATTGTGTATTGTGTTTCTGGATTCCAATCAAAATCTTTAGAGATAGTTCGATCTGTCCTTATAGACTGCACAGGGTATAGAGAAACGAGCAAGGTTGAAATGGTTCATGGTCCTCACGGATCCCGTATTAGCCGTATTTTGACCCCATTCACCGCAGAAACTCCGCCCCGAACCCCTAAATCACACATTTTTGTTATTTTTATCGAATTTTCATTT